GGGACACACAAACCCCTCCACCACGATAAGGTAGCGATTCATAAAATGTTATTCAGCTGCATTCCTACAAGAGGGAGAAAATCTTTCATCAATATTTCAACAGCTGCAGTAACTCTTTAAAATACAAGACAGAGTCAGCTGGATTCTACTTTTAACAGTTTACTGGCATTTAAAATTCTGCTTTGCTTTGTTAGTTTAGAATTGTAATTATTATTATTAGTAGCAGTTGTAGTATTTCAATCAAAACTGAAGAATAAAGGATGCAAAATTCGGTATAAACCAAATAACTTCTTCTGGCTATAGTGGACGCATCTTAATGAAACAAATGAGTATATATGTAAAAAAAAAAAAAATTCCTCTTAACCATTTTGTGGATCTCATGTCTTAAAGGTGTCACACTGTGGGATGCTAAAACTCTGCAGGAGAAGTCAGTGGAGAAAAATCAGCACAGCAGTGAGTTTGAAGTCAGTGCATCTGATTCCACTAAAACAAAATCCTCTCTGCTGGATGTTAATGCTTCACTAAAGGCCAGTTTCCTGGGTGGACTCATTGAAGTTGGAGGATCAGCCAAGTATCTGAATGATAACAAGAAATCTCACCATCAGAGTCGAGTCACACTTCAGTACAAAGCTACCACCAAATTCAAACAGCTGATGTTGACTCCTGATGAAACCAAGAACACCCAACAAGCAGAAGATGTGAAGAATTTGGCGACACATGTAGTCACAGGAATCCTTTATGGAGCAAATGCTTTCTTTGTGTTTGACAGTGAGAAGTTAGATGATAGCAGCATTCAAGTCATCGAGGGCAGCATGCAAGCAGTGATAAAGAAGATCCCCTCATTTAATGTTGACGGGAATGTTGATATCAAGCTGAGTGATGAAGAAAAAGCTGTGACTGATAAATTCACCTGCAAGTTCTATGGAGACTTCATCCTTGAAAGCAACCCTGGAACATTTGAAGATGCAGTGAAGACATTCATCCAACTTCCAAAACTACTGGGAGAAAACAGAGAAAACTGTGTTCCACTGAAGGTCACACTGATGCCTCTGAAGATTTTAGATCCAGAAGCTCCTGAGGCAGTGACTGAGATCAGCATTGGACTTGTTATAAAGGCTCAAGATGCTCTGAAGGACCTCTATAACCTGGAAATAAGATGCAATGATCTGCTGGACGACAGAGTGGTGAGAAGCTTTCCACAGATACAAGAAAAGTTGAGCAGATTCAAGAAGCTCTGTCAGTATTT